TCTATTTGATAATTTTCTTGTCTATCATTGTTCTATGTATTTTAAAATGACAATTATTGTATTTGTATTCACTTTCCAGATGAATGCGATGCTCAAAAGTTGACTCAGCCTGCATTGTCAACCAGAAAGCATTCTGGAAAAATTGTATTATTTGCTTGTAAGGTAGAAGAGGTATCATTCAGTAGTGCTTCTATTCATTGGTACCGACAGACTAAACATGAAGCACTGAAAGGGATACTCTACATTCAGTCCGAATTGAATCCAATAAGAGAAGATGGTTTTGATGCTCGATTTTCAGCAGAAAAAGTAGAGAACGAGAAATCATGCAACCTTATTATAAAAGGCATTGAGCTGAAGGATGCTGGGATCTATTACTGCGCCTACTGGGATTCACAGTGCTAGAGCATCATAAAAAACCTTTACAAAAACCTCCACTTGAGTGGTTAGCATGCTAAACCACAATTACAATAAGCTGCCTCTTCAACTGTACTCATAATCATAGCTTTATTCTGATGGTATAAGGTTACTACATTTTTTAAACATGGTAACAGTTTCAAGATCTCGCTTTATTTATTCTATTTATGCATCCATCCTGCCCCAGCCAACATGAGGCTTGAAATCTAAGATGACACAGACTTGTGGAAAATCATAAATGCCTTCTTAATTTGGTTGCCAAAAACTGCAGGAAATTGTTTTCCAAAATAAATCTGAACACTTAAGAATTGTCTACAATTGAGTTTTAACGCAAAATGGTCTGACACACTAAGACAAAATGAATTTGGTGCCTAATTTGGCTAATTTAATTTCACTATAAAAATCCATCAGATTTTTTTTCTGGCTGTTAAATTGAAAATGTATCAGGGCTTTTCAGTACTTGAAAACTCAAAATACTGCAGATGCTGGAAATCTGAAACAAAAACAGAAGTTGATGGGAATGCTCAGCAGGTCAGGGAGCATCTGTGAAGAAAGGAAAGTGAGTCAAGGTTTCGGATCCATGACCCTTCCTCAGAACTAATTAGTGTTCTCCTGTTGATTTACTTTTCTTTCTCCATAGATACTGTCTGACCTGCTGAGTGTTCCCAGTGACTTCTGTTTATCTTTTCAGTACTTCCTTGCTTTTAAATTCTATGCTGCTAGTTATGAACCCTAGCAGATCATTTGCCCTTTGAAAGGCTTGTACTGTCTCTAGGAATAAGTGCTGTAAGTGCTGGAGAAAAAGATTAGACATTGAGCATCTAGTTGGCATTCGCCTATTAAAATACACAGTTACTACACTTTACAGTAATTCCTGTGAAGCGCTTTAAGACCTGTTAAGGCATTATAACAAATTCAAGGATTATTATTACCATCAATGCAAAGATTATCACAAAATCACAAGAGATATTTGGATGCAGAAGGCCCTTTGATCCATTTGATCTGATCTCATTTCTTTCTCTCTGGAGGAAGAAATTTGCTAGTTTTTGCATAAAAATAGTTCTTCTGTAATTAAATATTCAATAGATTTCACTCATATGAAGATCTTTATTCTGTTTTGTTGAAGCACTTGATAATTCATATCTGTTATTATCTGTCTATCTTGGCTTGAAGACTTACATAAAAACAGGCAAAAAATTAACAGTTGAGAGTTCAACTTCAAAAGGCAAAGGTAACTGTCTTATAACCACAAGAGCAGGTGTAATTGGCTAAAGATTTTCCGTTCATTTGCGCTGATCATGTACTGTTCTCTGAACTCATGTACTGTTCTCTGAACACTATGTGAATTGTTTGCCAGCACTGATATTTGTCTTAAAATAGTCCAGTACACTAAAATCCACAAACTATGTAATACTGTTTCATGTACATACTTGTTATCCTGTTGACATGATCTGATGATCTGAAAGTGCATTAATCCTTATATTGTTTAATTTCTTTGGTCAGCCGGATGTCTAACCCATGCGGAAACCTATCACCATGCTTAAGAGCATCCTAACCAGAATGAAAGATCCACATATAATAATAATAATCCTTGCACTTGATATAGCGCTTTTCACGTCTTCTCGACGTTTCAAAGCGCTTCACAGAATAATAATAATAATAATAATCCTTGCATTTGATATAGCGCTTTTCACGTCGGAAGGACGTCCCAAAGCGCTTCACAGAACACACTGTAAAGTGAATTGACTGTAAATTTGTGGGCGAACGCGGCAGCCAATTGCGCACAGCAATGTCCCACAAACAGTCGTTGATTGAAAATGCCAATTTTATTATTGTTTTTGGTTTTGGAGGGATTACTATTAGGCTCTGTGTGGAGTAAGGAAACTTGCCCAAGGTTTCGCCCTGCCTGGAATTGAACTCAGGTCTCTCGCTTGCAAAGCGAGTGCTCTAACCACTGAGCTACAGGACTCCACAATAGACTGTAGAATAATAATAATAATAATCTTTGCATTTGATATAGCGCTTTTCACGTCGGGAGGACGTCCCAAAGCGCTTCACAGAACACACTGTAAAGTGAATTGACCGTATGTTTGTGGGCGAAACGCGGAAGCCAATTGCGCACAGCAGTGTCCAACAAACAGTCGTGGATTGAAAATGACCAATTTATTATTGTTTTGTTTTGGAGGGATTATTATTAGGCGTGTGGAGTAAGGAAACTTGCCCAAGGTTTCGCCCTGCCTGGAATTGAACCCAGGTATCTCGCATGCAAGGCGAGTGCTCTAACCACTGAGCTACAGGACCCCACATAGGTATGCCACTTAAACATACAAATATTCCTGTGTTGGAATGGAATGCACACTATCTCCCTGGAGAACCCACTTACCTAATTCCAGCGAGTATTAGGCGCAAATTGAGCTAAACCTTGTGGTTCCAAGAGTATGCATTGGGGTATTGTCAAAGTTTAATCAACTAAAATAATATAGCTCACCATTGAGAGCACTGTCTGGCAAGTTTTCCACTGTTTATCTGTAAAAAAGGCCAATATTGATTCTTTGTCATCTTAAAAATATATTGAAATCTAGCCTGTCTACAACTGTCTATAACTTAGACAATTCTTAGAAGGTGATTCCAATTAACAAAAATAACTTAATACAAATTACTGCAGATGCTGGAAATCTGAAACAGAAACAGAAGTCCCTGGCAACACTCAACAGGTCAGGCAGCATCTCTGGAGAAAGGAAAGTGAGTCAACGTTTCAGGTCCACAACCCTTCATCAGAACTGGGGCATGTTGGGAGGGAGAGGCTTTTAAGGGCTAACAGAGAGCCAGGGAGACACGGCAAGGAAGACAAAGAAGAAAATGGGGTAGAGGACAGGGGATGATGGGTTAAAGAGGTGTTAATGATACAAAACAAAGTGAAGAGGGGATTGCAACAAAATAAGGGGACAGAGGTGTTAATAATGCAAAACACGGAGGGGGGAGTTGCAACAAAATAGGCAGAATGGTCACAGAACAGTGGGAGGGGGAAAGTGAGTTGTTATGGTCTGAAATTGTTGAAATCAATAGTGAGGCCAGGGGGCTGCATGGTCCCTAGCAGATAAATGAGGTGCTGTTCCTCGAGCTTGCGCTGTGGCTCATTGGAACAACGTAGGAGACCATGGTTGGAGAGGTCAAAGCGTAAGTGGGACGGAGAGTTGAAATGGCAAGAAACCAGAAGCTCAGAGTTGTGTTTGTGGACAGAACGGAGGTGTTCAGCAAATTGGTCACCCAATCTATGTTTTGTTTCCCTAATGTAGAGGAGACCACACCGTGAGCAATGAGTGCAGGGAACTACATTGGTGGTAGTACACATAAATTGTTGTCTCACTTGGAAACTGTATTTGGGGCCCTGGACAGTGGTATGAGAGGAGGTGAAAGGGTAGGTATTGCATCTCCTGCGCTGGCATGGGAAGGTGCCAGAATGAGGAGAGCAACTGTTGGTTGTGATGGAGGAATGAACCAGGGAGCCACGGAGGGAACAGCCCTCACAGCGCAACAAAATAACTTCATGTTCTAATATTTCAAAAATGCTCCGCTGATAATTCACAGTGGGATGAGTAATATTTCTATAATTGCAAGATAATATGTTCAATATTTTAGGTTAAAAAATCTGTGACAATATTTCTAATACAAAATGAGCTTTTAAACCTCTACAACTGAAGTATGATGCTACTTAGTCCACTATGTAGGTTAAGTTTGCAATTGCAATACTTTTTGAAGTGATTGCGTTGGGAGCACACATTACTATGTATATAATTTATGTTTGTATGTCATGCAGTTCAGACCCAAACACAAACATTGGAAAAACAAATATAGAAAAGCAACAATAAAGCAGAGTAACAAATTAACAAACTGGCAAAGTTTAATAGCAACAAAATACAAACTTTTATTATACATTATTCACTTCCTGATTGGATCCTGATTATACATCTCCCTCAGAATCAGAAAGTTGTGGGTTCAAGCCCCATGTTGGGACTTTGAACTCATATATTCTAGGCTGCAACTCCAATGCAGTGCTGCGGGCGTGCTGCAAATTTGGAGATACTGTCCTTCAGATGAAACATTAAACTGAGATCCTGTCTGCCTGTTCAAGTGGACTTTAAAGATCCTAAGGCACTATTCAACAAGAAAAGGGAGTTGAAGCGCTTTGAGATGTCCTTCTGACGTGAAAGGCATTAATATAAAATGTAAGGATTATTATTAAACTCTGGAACACTCTTCCTCTATCCCTCTGCCTTGACCCCTCCTTCCCCATCCTCAGGTGGCGCCTGAAAATCTTCCTCTTCGACCGTGACTACGTTCACTTTTCCCTTCTCCTCCCTCAGCGTCGTGCTCCGCGACTGTCGAGCGCTCCGGGACGCTATCCTGCGTGAGGGACTCTATATAAATGCAGGTAGTTATTGTTGTTAAACATGAGGTCTCCCAGCCACAGAAGATGAGAATACCTGTATCATTGGGTGAGGCTGCTCCCGTCATTTCCTGAACTGACTCACTTCATTCGTTTGGTAGCAGGTTCTGGCACAACAGATTCAGTGAGCACTTGCCCCAGAAACATGAGGCTGTACTTTGTTGGAGCTCTGGTGATCTCCCTCCTGGGTGAGTGCGTTAAACTCGAACGAATTGCTCTCTTGGGCGTCGTTTGCCTTCGGATCAGGAAATATCATTGGAACGATATAACAGTGTATTATAATAAGGATTGCTATTATTATAACAGCAGTATCTGTGTCTTGTTTCAGCTGAATCTCTCGCTCAAACCCTGATTCAGCCTGAATTATCGATCACCAGAGATCTGATGAAAACTGCCCGCATGCACTGCCAGGTGGAGGGGATAGCGTTCGAGAGCGCTGTCATTCACTGGTACCGACAAACTCCCAAACAGTCCATTCGGCGGATTATGTACATCCAGTCCAAGTCCTCTCCTCAGAGGGATGACGGTTTCTCTAACAGATTCACAGCCGAGAACATAGCAGAGGGAGGCATCAGCAGACTGGAAATAGCACAACTCGAGACGTCTGACGCCGGTACATATTACTGTGCGTGTTGGGTATCCACAGTGACACTGAGCAATAGCAAAGCGATACAAATACCATCACCATTGCCACCCACTGACCAGGTACACACACACAGCACCCTCACCCCCCCCCACCCTCACCCCCCTGATGTACCCCAGCACAACCCGATTCCATTGCATCTGATAGTCACATCGTTTAATATAAGTGTCACTTGTATTTTTTTTCCCCGATTGTATTGGAATAGTCTTAACGATGTTACAGCCACTCACTGACACCCGGTCCTGACGTGTCTGAATCTGATTAGAGTCAAGTCCCAAAGCGTTTCACAGAGAGACTGGACAGTGCGTGTTGTGGGCGAAATATTATGTGTGCGATGAAACTTGCGACGTTTATGGATTTGTAGATCGGTAATATAAATAGAGTTGAATTTCCGTTTCAATGCAATACACCTTTCAACCAGTTGGGAGGCGTTAAATGTAGAACGAACCACGATATTTCCAAATTAAGTCAGAATGTGAGCCCAACGAGAGAATATTTTGCATTAAAAAATTCGTATGGGCTATGACAGCTAATAACGTTACATTTTCTTTTGCATATACGGAACGGATCTGTTATCGGTTTCTCAAATCGTCACGTACGTAAAGTTATAACACAAGGAATTGCATCAGTGATATCAGATTATTATTATCAGTCACTGCCACAAGGAAACACAATGAGATTGCTCTACTCGTATGGAAAAAGGCACTGTTCAGAATGAATATTCCCTGCATGTTAATAAATCAATTACCTGGCAGGTAAGCGAACACGTTATTGTGCTTATTGCAATATTATCAGTGTGAAGAATTCAATGAAGCAAATAATAGTGAACTGCCATTGATATAGCAAGTTACCAGGATAAATAGGTCCATATACAATACCCTGCATTAATTCTGTGTAACTTCTCTATCTTAACAAACTTGAGTCGTTTGTGTTGCCACCAATAGATCCCAAAGTTGAATGACACACTGTGAAGGGATTAAATGCAAGATGAATGGTTTCATTGACATTTGTTGAGTGTAGGGCACTGCTACTACTGGATCGCTTTTCCAGGAGTAATAATTCCTTAAAAGATCAAAAAAAATGTGGTTACTCAATCTATGATTATTCGTGGGACACTGCTGTGTGCAATTGGCTGCTACGTTCTGCCCGCAAAATGTACAGTCAACTCACTTTACAGTGTATTCTGTGAAGGGTTTGAAATTTCTTGAAGATGTGATAAAGCGCTGTATCAAATGCAAGGATTATTATTATATTTGATAATCCATCAGTTTTTTTCTCCTATGAATCATTAATAGTTTTGAAAAAAAGGTTTTATTTCAGTTAAGTAAACCAATCGTAGACTTCCCTCAAAGATTTTGAATGTAAGACATCCTGAACACACTATTAATAATAATAATAATAATCCTTGCATTTGATATAGCGCTTTTCACGTCGGGAGGACGTCCCAAAGCGCTTCACAGAACACACTGTAAAGACTGTATATTTGTGGGCGAACGCGGCAGCCAATTGCGCACAGCAATGTCCCACAAACAGTCGTAGATTGAAAATGACCAATTTATTATTGTTTTTGGAGGGATTATTATTAGGCGTGTGGAGTAAGGAAACTTGCCCAAGATTTCGCCCTGCCTGGAATTGAATTGAACTCAGGTCTCTCGCTTGCAAAGCGAGTGTTCTAACCACTGAGCTACAGGACTCCACTATTGTCAGCAGTAAAGAAACTATGGTAAAGCAGTGAGGAGGAACTCAATAAGAGATTTAGGGGGCAATGGCAAGCTCATTGGGTGTCGGTGGTGGGCGGGGGGGGGGGGGGGGATAAAGGCAGGCTGCAAGGAAGTTTGAGAGAGAGAAATACCTAATTTTCTAATAACTTGTGATGTGGTAGGATTGAAAGTATTGAGGATCACAATGAGGGAGTTGTGCAGATCATCAGAATAAGAACATAAGAAGGAACATAAGAATTGATTGACGAAAAAAGTCCAAGGTCCACCCAGTTCACCTTCCACCATCCTGGCACTCGCATGCATATTTCATGTCCCAAACTATATACTGTATTCCAAGATATTATTTCCATAAACAAAAGCTATCTAATTAGCTTTTGAAAGAATCAACACTTCCTGCTTTCACAGACCCCCATGGAGCCTGTTCCATACATTTACTGCTCACTCACTGAAATAGTGTTTCCGCAGATTTGTTTTGAATTTTTGAATTCAATCACAGGCCATGTCCTCTGGTGCTACTGTTCCAGACAAGATAAAACAGCTTAAATGGGCTACATTATCCATTCCCTTTAGAACCTTGAAAAACACAATCATATCGCCGCTTAGCTTACTCTTTTCCAGCGTGTACATGCCCAGTTTACTTAATCACTCCTCATAGTCCAGTCGCTCCATTTGCTCAATCATTCTGGTTGTTCTCGGCATTGGCCATTGAGAAGTTCGAAAAAAGTAGGAACAATACACTACAACAACAACAAGATTCCATTTATAGAGCGCCTTTCACATCGGGAGGACGTCCCAAGGCACTGTACAGCTGGGTCAGGACCCGAGCAGGGGGGTTATGGTCAGGGTGAGGGGAGGGAAGGGAGGGAGCGAGCGAGAAGGGGGTAGAGAGTCGAGAGGGGAGCTGAAGGCACGGTCAAAGAGAAAGGTCTTGAGACCGGCCTTGAAGGAGGAAAGGGAGGAGGCGGCGAAGGCACTGGGGGATGGAGTTCCAGAGCCTCGGGGCTGAGAGGTTGAAGGCCCGGCCGCCGATGGTAGGGCGGTTGGGGCGGGGGATGTGGAGCAGACCGGAGCCAGAGGATCGGAGGGTACGGGCAGGCAGGTAGGAGGATAGTAGGTCGGAGAGGTAGGAGGGGACAAGGCCGTGAATGGTAGTGCCGTAGTCTGGCGACATTCCTGAGGTGATGGAAGGCGGTGCCAGTTGTGGCGCGGATATGAGGGAGAAAGGACAGCTCAGGGTCGAACAGAACACTAGAATATAAACCAGTCTATGTACAATCAACTATCAAATATTACTTTCTATTACATAAGCAGGTTTAGAAAAAACAATTTTTAAAACAAGTTAGCAACTGAGTATATACTAATAGCAGCTGTAAACCATCTGAACAGGGATTGGTTAGAATAATGAGCCACTTCCTTTTCACTTTATATAGATTTGACCAAACAAATGTACTGCATCACACGTCTCAGCAGCACAACATTGAACACTGTATTATCATGTCACTAAATTATTGGTTTATTGTGGCGATATTTATTCCTTGTAAGTAGTTCTGTTTATACAGTTAAATGGTCATCTGTTTAAAATACTAATTGGAGTCTAAAATTATTTCTTTTTCGTTGTATTTTTTCCAGGTTGGAGTTGTGCTCAGACTTTGCTTCAGTCACCGATTTCGATTACCAAATCTGTTGATAAAACTGTCAGATTTCATTGCAAGATGGAGAATGGTCATGTTGGCAATTATAACATCCACTGGTGCCAACAGAAACCAAATCAACCGCTCACCAGAAAAGTCTATTATAGTACTAAGAATGCTATACCTAATTATAGATTTAAGACAGAAATAAATAGAAACAATACTTGCCTTCTTATAATCGACAACATTGTACAGAATGTCACTGCTAACTATTACTGGGCCATTTATACAACCACAGAACTATATAGCACTAGAAACCTTCTACAAAAACTCTGCCTTACTTGCTGCTTCACTTCTTATCACAAATGCAACGTGAACATTCCTCAGAAATTCAACAGAAAGCAACAGCTAAAAGCAGCTGTTTTCTGTGTACCTGACCAAATAAAATAGAACTCAGCAGTTCTGGTTATCATAAACATCTTCTAAATAAATATAGAGGTAATTTGTTAAAAATAGGATCATCAAAACTAAAACAATCATTACACTTTCCAGTAATCACCTGTGAATCATTTTCCTTTGTTTTTTTTTACTCTCTTTCATCCTTTCTCTTCCTTTCCCCTGATCTTATTCATTAATCCTATTTAGGCATGAGTCTGAAGGCTAGAATATAATAATAATCCTTGCATTTGATATTGCCCCTTATCACATCTTCTAGACGTCTCAAAGCACTTCCCAGAATATACTGTAAAGTGGATTGACTGTATATTTTGTGGGGGAAATGCTGTGATCTATATATCTGTGATAGACATAAAATTTAGATGTCAGCCTCATAATCCAGTTGCATTGTCAGAGCTGTCCCTTGGATGCAATATTAAATCAAGGTCCTGTCTGGCTATTTAGATGAATGTCAAGGATCCCATGGCACTATTGGAAAAGAGAAGGTATTTTTTTCTGGTGTCCTCACCAACAAATTACTCAAATAAAAGTGGTTACTCACTCTATGACTGTTTGTGGGACATTGCTTTGCACAAACTGGCTGCTGCGATTCGCTCACAAAATACACAGTCAATCCATTTTATAGTATATCCTGTGAAGCACTATGAGAGTCTCGAAGATATGTTAAGGCACTATTTCAAATTGCAAAATTATTATTATTATCCTATTCAAAATACAAAGAAAATTTTCCCAGAGTTCTAGCCAACAATCCCCCAGATAAAATTACCACATCCTCCCAACGTGAAACATGCTATACAAATGTAATTTTGTTGTTGTTGTATTAATTTCAAGGCTGTTTGTGGGACATTGCTGTGACGCAAATTGGCTGCTTATCCTTTCAAATCAGGCTCACCTACAAAATACATGGTCACTTCATTTATCATAAAATCCTATGAAACGCTCAGAGACATTTTGACAATGTGATAAAACACTATGTCAAATGCAGGGACTGCTGTTATCATAATGATTTCTTCAGTTTGGACCAGAACTGCCATTACAAAATCTCTTGCAATTCATTGTTTGTTTAGCTGAACAACAATAACAAAATTATATTTGTAAAGCATCTTTCACATCGGGAGGAAGTCCCAAGGCACTGGACAATTAGTGTTTCAGACCCGAGCTGGGGGCCAGGATCAGGGAGGGTGAAGGGCGTGGGGGGAAGGAGAGTGACCGAAGACACAGTTGAAGAGGAGCATCTTGAGACACATCTTGAAGGAGGCAAGGAAGCGGGCAAGGCGGAGGGACTGCGGGATGGAGTTCCAGAGAGTGGGGGCAGAGTGGCAGAAGGTCCGCCCGCCAATGGTGGGACGGGCAAGACGGGGGATGTGAAGCAGGCCAAAGCCCGCTGAGCGGAGGGAGCGGGCAGGTTGGTAGGGGGTTAGAAGGTCATAGAGGTCGGGGGGAGCAAGGCCACGGACGGCTTTGAAGATGAGGATCAGGATCCTGAACTGTATCCTCTGTGTGATGGGAAGCCAGTGGAGTCGAGTAAGGATGGGGGTGATAGGGTCACAGAGCAGGAGAGGACACAGGCTGCAGAGTTCTAGATGATCTGTAGCCTATGGAGGGAGGAGTTGAGGAAGCCGAGAAGCAGGGTGTTTGTGTAGTAGGGCCTGGATGTTATGAATGTCTGAGGGTCTCGGCGGCCTGCGATATGAGACAGTGGCAGAGCCGGGCGATGTTGCAGAGTGGGGGAAGGCAGAGCAGGACATGGCATGGATGTGGGTTAGAAAGGATAGTTGAAGGTCAAACAAGACGCCAGGTTCCAGACTGGCTTGGAGTGTGCATCCTTGGATGGTGAACACTATGTTTCAACTTTATTAGCTTTCCAATCTAATTGATTTTAGTTTCTTTGTTTAGATACTTAGTTTGTTCTTCTTTTGGGTTCTTTCTGACTCATTGG